ATGAATTTTAGGTCTCTACGTCCATCCCATGGGGAATGGGAGCAGTAACAAAGGTGTTGCGTTTATATTTTTGTTGAGTGTAATTTAGCAGGTTGCTAAGCTAATATGCTAAATGGTAATTTGTTAGTTTCAACTGAATACAAACTGCAGCTGAGGTTGTTGAGAAAGTGATTGGTCATAAATTATTATTTGGACAACCAAAACCTGACTTATGCTCAAACCTGATGGGGGTAATATATTGAAATTCATCTCCATTACCAGTGCTGATTTCGTAGACATCCTTTTTAAAAAACATCATTTCACACATTTTTTAGGTGGTTTATTATTGTTTTGCTAACTTTGGAGTAGTCTAAGCTATCTGCCATTATAGTATTTCTGACCTTATCCCTATAGGCTATAAAATTAGGCTTTTTTTTATCACTAGCAATGTAATGTGACAACTCTGAAGATCTGTACAGTTTCCTGGATACACACATACATGCATCATCCATTAAGATAAAGAACCAAGATAAACTAAGACAGAACAGACTCATAGTCGGTTTCAAAGTGATCTGAAAGCCCATGAGAATAGGTAGGTCTTCAATAAATGTTGACATCAGTACCTCTAGTACAAGGAGTGGATGAACCAACTTATGCTGCCATCATAGCATGGCTGAAAAAAAATCTTTAATGAAAACTGGGTTTAATAACAAGGTGATACCCTCTAATAAGCCAGCAAAATCACTAATACTGAATATTAATGACTTTAAATTAGAGTAGGAGTGCTTTCTGGATTCATGTTGTTTTTATGCTCTCTAGAAGAGACATATGTGGCAAAAACTGAAAGAATGTCATTTATAATACATTAATTTAACCTGTTCATGTTTAACCAAATGTTTAAATCTGTTTAATGTCCTGATGAATGCTTGCATTCCAAAACGCCTGAGTTTTTCTAAGTTTAGAAGAGAGTGCTTTTGAGTCCTTTGATCTTTAAGGCCAATAACATATTTCGGCTAAAATTGAATGGATATTGCTTAGTTGATAAGCAAGCTAATTGTAATTGTAACTCTTAAGCGTTTATTTTTTTTTTTCTTCTCCTTTTTTATATCTATTTATTAGCTTGTTTTTGAGCTGATGTAACTGGAGCCTCGTCATCTTGTCTCTCTATATGCTGCACTGGATATGGCAGAGATGGCAATAAAGTTTACTTTGACTTTGACTAAAAAGTTATTTGTAAGAAAAGTATCATATTAAACAATCAAAATGATATAGAATGTTATTGGGTTTTGCAAGGTTGAAAATATGGGGCTTTAATAAGATAGCCAAAGCTTAGTTAACTTAAGGTCATGTGGTGACAGAGGGACAAAGGCAGAGTACATCAAAGGCAGGTCATAATAGAATAGAATAGAATATTCCTTTACTGTCACTGTACATGTACAACAAAATTGTGGGTGCCTCACACCAACTGTGCAGGAATAAAATATACCACAGGGCCTTCACACAGACTGTAACAAGCATGTTGCAGTACCCAGAAACAAACCCAAAAAACTCCAGAGAAAACCCACACAGGCACACTGAGCACACTTAAACTCTACATTGAAATGCCCCAGTTGACCAGATAACATCCTTTCTGTGGGACAGCAGTGCCAACCACCGCACCACAGAGCAGCCTTTTCAAGCCATTATTAGTTTGACTTACATGTTTTTGTTTCCGATGCATGCTACATGCTGGTTCTTGCTAATTAACCTGAAATATACTCTCAAGTTATAATCCTAAATTGAGAATCATAAACAGTTTGGACTTTGGAAGGTGGGGATTGAGAGCATGTGATTTTTATGTCATATTTTTCACTTTCCGTTGTCTGGATTACTCACAGCAT